TGGAAATTGAACAGCAAATAAATATATAAACAAACAAACAAATAAACAAATAAATGGCTAAATAAATGAATGGATAAATGAATGAGTGAACAGATTAAAAAAAAGTGAGTGAATAAATGAATAAATAAGAAAAAATAAATAATTAAATAAATGGATGAACGACAGATAAATGAACAAACAAATAAATACATAAATAAAGAAATGAATAAATAAATAAATAATAGTTATGAGAAAATTTATGAAAAACTAATGTGACATTCAGGAATTTTAATTACTTCTTATCTCTTAGTTTCTATTAATTGTATTTTATAGTACAGATTTTGCATGTGGCCAAAAGAGAAAAAAATAAATCATCTTTAGTGTCCTTTAAAATTTAGTGTTTTATCACTGAATTTAATGAACCCTAGGAGTGAAATTTGAGGGAGATTAGACAATGGGAGATATGCCATGGAACTGAAGCTTGGGACTTTTTGCCTTGATTTTCAGAAAACATGAGGTGCTTTCTGCAAACTGTTAGCTAATTCTCAGAAAAAATTACACTTTACTAAACATATCACTTCTAAACTTTTTGGAAAAGATGTTCTAATTACTATGATCTAAACTAAAGGTTAATTTGCAGAGGTCGTTTATTCAAATGATCACTAGACCAGCAGTCAAACACAATATTATAATCCCATCTCTATAATTGTCTGTATGACCTTGAACAGGTCACTTTACCTCTGAGATTTCAATTTCCTTAGCTATAAAATGAGGGGATTTGACTAGATGAATGCTCACATCAATTCTAATTCTAATATCTTCTATGGTCCTATTATTCTAAGACATTGCCAAGTGATTTAGGTCTCTTCCTTTTAGAGTTTCTGTATAATTGCAATGGAGGAGTAGAGTACCTGGGTATTAGTGGTTTAAGGTTGATATTCATAAATTAAAGCCCACATGGGGTGATCCTCCCACTATTTTACAGGTTCCTGACCAATTTCCCTTCTAGAGCAATCAAGGTTTTTATATTTCCTGATGTATGATATTACAATATCTCTCATTAATTAATCAATTAATTCTGGGCTCTTGTCATTTTTTCCTATGACATTATATGCTATCATAATACGATAGCTTATAAATGCTATCATTCATTACATAGATTGTAGGAACCACTTCACATGAGTTTTTGCAGATCTCTCTTTATCACTCATTCATCTTTCCCTGATACCTAATCTCCTAGGCTTAAATAAAAATTAAGATTATAGGCTGTAGAATTTATTAACATAAATTTATTATGTCATATGTGGGGAATTGGGGGGCAGCTAGGTGTCGCAGTAGATAGAGCAATGGCCCTGGATTCAGGAAGACCTGAGTTCAAATCCGGATTCAGACACATAACACTTACTAGCTGTGTGACCCCGGGCAAGTCACTTAACCCCATTGCCTCAAAAAAAAAAAAAGAAAGAAAGAAAGAAAAAACATATGTGGGGAATAGTAACAAAGGCAATTTGCCTGGACCCCAGAATATGTGAAGAGAATAATCTGTAATAAAGCTTGAAAGGCAGCTTGGAGCCAAGTTGTGAAAGACTTTAATTGCCAAATGGAGGAGTTTGTATTTGATCCTAGAAGGAATAGGGAGAGACTAGCGTGAAAAAAGATTTGGGATTTGTTGACTGTGATCTCCATGTGATCCAAGATTGTAATATGACAACCAAAACATTAAATGGGAATACCCTGTGTGGAAAATATATCCTGCTTATTGTGTGTATTGAAACTTCTATGCATGACTCTTCCTTGAACTCTCCCTGCAGGGGCCCTGAAACACAAAAAGACCCTTGTGTCCCTCTATAGGGAAGAGGTAGGTGGGTAAATGCATGTTGGTTGATGATTGGCCTCTTTTTTTCCCTGGATGGCTATGATGCCCCATGGACCTTCTTCCTTCACTGAACTTTGTGATCATCGAGATGTAAGATTATATTTAGCTGTTAGGGAATAAAAATTGCCCTTTAGGTGTAATAGTGATGACTCCCTCAAATCATATGTGAGCTAAAAACCGGGGTGGATAGTGAGATTTCAGTACCTGAGACATCTCCCAGAGTAGTTGCTGGAGACAATGGGAGCTTCCAGACAGAGTCTCAGATGAGTCCCAGTTCTCTGTTTTGGTGAGCCTTCCTTTCAGTTCATACCTAACAACGATGCAAAAAGCAGGGCTTTAGCACTAGGATCATAAGATAATGCATTGAAATCATAGATTTAGAAATGAAAGGGACTCAGAGGCCATAGGATTACAGGACCACTGACTGGAGCTGGAAGAGACCTTAGGAGTCATCTAGTACTATCTTCTCATGTTACATCTGAGGAAACTGAGGCTCAGAGAGGTTAAGTATCTTCTGGACTTTCCAATCATATTATGTACTCCTCTCCATGTAATCTGTGATCCACTAGCTCAGCCACCTTACTCTTCCTTGCACACAACATTCCACCCCATTATTGTCTGCATTTTCACAGGCTGTCCCCCATGCTTGCAATGCTCTGTCTCCTCATCATAGCACCTGGCTTCCCTAGTTTCCTTTAAGTCTCATCTAAAATCCCAACTTCTGCCAGAAGCTCTTCCTGGTCCTGCTTAATGTTCATGCCTTCCTTCTGTTGGTTCTCTCCAATTTATCTTGTACGTATTGTGTTTCTACATAGTTGTTTGTATGTTGTCTCCCCCAACACAATGTGAGTTTCTGTCTTTTAACATTTTTATATCCCCAGCAGTAATTGTCGTGCCTGGCACATAATAAGTGCTTAAATGACTGACTGACCACGGTCACATAAACAGTAAGTAAACTGGAGCTGGTGATCATGTCTTGTGTCTACAAATTTAGCACTTTAGTTCGAGGCACCAGTAGCCAATCAAAGCCCTAGATGAGTACAGAATGATTGGGTCCATTAACTACTTTGCTAACAAAATATTAACAGCCACTGTATGAACCCTGAGTCCTCTGCTTCCTCTCAACTTCCCCTTTCTGTGATCATCATAGAGAATAGGTAATGATAGGAGTTACACTTGGCAAAACTAAATCTGTGAGGAACCAAAGAGGAAGACGATAGAGGAAATTACTCACTCACCTGACCAGAAAATGGCTTATGGAAGTTGTTGCCAGTCATGCTTGACTATGCTGTTCTCAAGCCAGACTCCAGCTCAGATAGTCAGGCTGATCTTTTTGTTGTAGATAGTGATTATTGCCTGCATCCAGCACATTCTAGAGGTAATTTCTTCACACAGCAGCCTAGTTAGTGACCTACTCTTGGTTTCCCTTCCACAGACACTCAGAAGAGAGGTATAACAACCTATTTGGGTTGAACTAGACAGTAAAATGCCAGGAGACTGTTGTGGTAAAGATTCTCATGATTCTTTTCCTATAGTCACAACAAAATTGCTAGACTCTCATCAGTAAATGAAATTGCTCAGAATCGGATCAGGAAACTAAATCCATCAAGTGACACTCAGTGTCACAGGAAGGTAAGAAAAGAACAGGGCAACGGAAATTGGGGACTGATGTAGCAAGTGGAAAAAGAATCTTTAAATACATGGATATAGCAAGACAACCTCCTCCTTCATGCTCAGCACAGAGAAAGGGTTTAATAAATGTTTCTTGCTATATAGATTGGGTAACTAGACATTATGGAGACCAGTTTACATTAAGTTATTGCTACCTTGGTAGTGTTCTATTTTCAATAATATGGATTTGTTCCCTCAAAAGGAAATAATATAAAAATGAAGGAATGGAGCCTGGGAGTCTCAGGTTCATTGATACTCTGTTTCCCTGAGTGCCAGTCCTCCCTCTAAGAACCACTACAGAAGATCTGTCTTCAGTCTTTCACTTTTCACTCTTTTTTAAACTTCCTGGGTATATAAACATCAAATAGAAGTGATTTCCTTGTGAGCTGACTGTCCACACAGCCCAGTTTTCTTCCTCTGTCAAGGATTCTTCTGATATTTTTCCCCAGCACTCATTCCCTTACTTCTTATGTGCTCTGTTACTGCCAAAAAAAACAAAAGTTATTTTTGAGAGTATATCTGTTTGGATGTAATATCCCTCTACTAAAGTGTGAATATATAAATTTTTGAAAAAAAATCTTCTTCAGTACCTAACATAATTTTCTACATATAGTAAGTAATCAATACCTTATTGCTAATTACTTTTAATTGGAGTAAAATACGAAAATATACATATTTACTATATAGTATGTCTTGCCTATTATCCAAAGATAAGGAAAAGCAAGATGATAAAGGTTTAAAATGTAAGGTTGGCCATGACATGATGGCAATTTTTTAACATGTAGAAAATTATGAAGATTACCAAATATAGCACATAGAAGTTGTCACATACTTAGGAAGAAGGAGGATTCATACAATGGAGACCACGTATGTCTTTAAAATATTATCTTTGGCAAGAGACAGTATGATATAATGAAGAGGAAGCAATTCTAAGAGTCAGGAAGATCTGGATTCCAGTCCTTCCTCTGACACATAATGGCAGCATGACTACAGGGAAGACATTTAATCTCCCAGTGCTCCCCCCACCACAATGCTCAAAGGCTATCAATTGCAAAGAAGGTACTGATCTTCATTAAAGGAAGAGGATAGAGGAAATGACTCACTGAGAATTCCATATTTGTATGAAAAGTATCTAAGAGAATATTAATGTTTATTTTAATCAAAATAAGATCTTTAAAAGCACGTTACAGTCAATATAAGGGCATCGGAGGGGTGTCATATTTATGCATTTATTTTAATGTGCAAAACAGTGGCTAAAAACTCATGGTGAAACCTTTTGCCTAAATGATCTCTTTATCTCTGTCACAGAAGCAAGATGAACAATCACACACTGGTTAAAGAATTCATTCTGATGGGATTTCCTGGTGGCCCTGACATGCAAATGTTTCTCCTTGGCCTCTTCTCTCTGCTATATGCCTTCACCCTAATGGGCAATGGAGTAATCTTAGGACTCATCTCTCTAGAGGCCTGACTCCACAAGCCCATGTACTTCTTCCTCTCACACTTGGCCCTTGTTGACATTTCCTATGCCTGTAACACTGTGCCCCAGATGCTAGCAAACCTACTGGACCCTGTCAAACCCATCTCATATGCAGGGTGCATAACTCAGACTTCTCTCTTTTTGACTTTTGCCCTCACAGAATGTCTTCTCTTGGTAGTGATGTCTTATGATCATTATGTGGCAATCTGTCACCCCCTCAGATACTCTGTCATCATGAGCTGGAGGGTATGTGTCACTTTATCATTGGCCTCCTGGGCCCTTGGATTCTTTCTGGCCTTGGCCCATCTAATTTTATTACTTCCATTGCCTTTCTGTGGTCCCCAGAAAATCAACCATTTTTTTTGTGAAATCTTAGCTATTCTCAAACTTGCCTGTGCTGACACCCATATCAATGACATCTTGGTCTTGGCTGGGGCTGCTTCTGTGTTGGTGGGACCCCTTTCTTCAGTTGTGATCTCCTACATGCGCATCATCTGGGCAGTCCTGCATATCCAGCCAAGAGAGGGGAGACAGAAGGCCTTTTCCACCCATTCCTCCCATCTCTGTGTAGTAGGACTCTTCTATGGTATTGCCATCATCATGTACATTGGGCCCAAGCATGGGAACCCCAAAGAGCAGAAGACATATCTCCTCCTATTCCATAGCCTATTTAACCCCATGCTGAACCCCCTTATTTACAGTCTGTGAAATAATGAAGTAAAGGGTGCCCTGATGAGAGTGCTAGGGAAAGACAGACAATTCTAAAAGATTTAGCAGATTATAAGCTTGTAGTAGATTTCAGTAATTGTGACTATATGCTGATAATAGTTGCAACAGTAATCTGAAATCTGATTTCATATTGCTTAATTAAAAAGTAAAGTAGCTTCTATTTCCTTCTCTGTAATATGAAGAACATGGACTAGATGTCCTCAGAGGTCCCTTCCAGATACAAACCAATTAGTCTATAAGTTTTTGAAAGTATTAGCATATATACATATATGTATGTATGTATGTATGTATGTATAGCTCATGTTTGACTAATTTTTGAAAAATTTGTGAGGTACCAAGGTGCCGAAAGAAAGATGAAATACTTCTACTTAAATGTTTGTAATCAATACCCTAATGCGTCCTACTGGAGGCAAAATATTTTGAGCTTTGAGATGTTAAACAATGAAGCTATAATATTTTGAATAATGATATGAGAAATCATTCTGTGCTACACTTAACTCTCTATCCTTAGAGCAAATCCCAAGACATACTGCCATCCTACAGAACACTGTGGAAATCTCATTTAATAAACATGTATACCTTTGAGAAAGGGAAAGATAAAGGGAGATAGGGAAGGAGATAGAGGGAGAAAGAAAGGGATAATGGAGGTAAAGAGAGAAAACATAGAGAGAGAAAGAAAGAGAAAAAGAAACAGTATTGAATGAATACTGCCAGAGGTTTTAAGAGAAATTTTCGGCTCAGTTTAAATGTGAAACTATCAATAATTACTTCTACAAATTACATCATTTTTAAAAGAATAGCCCTAAAGATTCTCTGTCTCTGTCTCCGTCTCCTTCCTTCCCTCCCTCTATCTCTCTTCCTCTCTCTCTCTGTCTCTCTGTCTCTCTCTCTCCCTCTCTCTCTCTCTGTCTGTCATACACACACACACACACACACACACACACACAAACTACATTCATATGAAGTGGATGGAATTAGAATTGAAATTAGTATCTCTTCCAAGATTCCATTGGGTTTATATTACCCAAAGTAATGTGGCCCATTGTAAGGATGAAAAGAAAGTAAGAAAAATGAAAAAGATTGAGATGTGGTGGGAGAAACAAAAGACAGACCAATTTCTTTATACAGAGGGACAGATACTTAGTTTGACCAGGAGCAAGAGTGGACAAGAAGACAAGTGCAATGTAATCTAAATATAGTTACAAGAGCAAGAGGCCGGTATCAGAATTGGTTTTTGGAAGAAGACACACAGGTAGGGGAGTTGTTTGGGGGTGGGGCTAATGTTGCATGTCTATGCTAAAATAGATGAAGGATGTTGAAAAACTAGAGAATAGCTAAAAGACATGCACCAGGATGGTGAAGGGCCTGGAAATGATTCTATTTGACAGCTGGTTGAAGGAACTGGAGAAAAGAAGACTTGAGGGGGATGTTTTAGCTGTTTTCAAGTATCTGAAGAGCCTCAGGTTTCTCACTTCTCCAATTCATAACGGCAACTAAATGATGTCATTAAAGGAGAAGTCTGACAATGTCACCTCCTTGCTCAAAAATCTCTAGTAGTTACTTATTAACTATTGAATAAAATGCCAACTCCTCTATTTGGAATTCAAAACCCTTCACAAGCTGGTGCCAGTTTACCTTTCCAACATTATTGTATATCGCTCCCCTTCTTGTATCCTATGTTCCAGACAAACTGACTTACTTGGTGTTCTTCACAACTTGACATGACATCCTATTCCCCATTTCCACACCTTTGCAAAGGCCATCCCCCATGCTTAGAATGTATTCTCTTCTCAATTTGGGGGGGCCAAGTCCTTATGGAAAATCTCTAAGTCCTTAGACTTTAGGGGTCAGTATGTATAGAGGCTTGCCTCTGGATAAATGCTCCCATTATTCTTACCCTAATTCCACTTGTTATAGTTTGTTGATTCTAAGTTCTCACTCATGCCCAGCCTTGAGGCCAGGTGGCTGACTCGGGTAGACAATACTAAGAACTGGGCAGGAAAACAATAGATATGAAATTTGGCATTAAAACTACTTTCTCATGAGAAAGTGAGGATCTTTAGCTGCTTAGACTGTTTATGTTATTGATTAGCACTTGTAGATCATTTCTCAGGGTCCAAAGCTGTTTTCTATAGTATATAATCTTGTAACACCTGAAAATATACTAGTCTTATGAGCATTAGTCTCAGACTCACCTAGCCTGTGTTCCCCTTTCCCTTTTTCTTTCACCGCTCTGTCTTACACCACACCAGCTACAGACAAACTTTGCCTCAGAATCCCTGCTTAATTTGAAGTTCAATTTAAATGTTACCTCTGCTATGAGGTTTTTTCTGACTTCTTCCCACTAGCTGTTAGTCATCACGCTGTTATTCTGTAAGTATTTGTATTATACCTATTGTTCTACTATAACCCTCCCCATTAAAAAAGAAGTTCCTTGACACCCAAGTACTGTTACATTCTTATTGTTCTATATCCAGAAACTAACACAAGGTCTTCCTTAAACATGCTTATTTATATGTTGAAGGAAGATTTGAGCTATTCTCCTTAGCACCAGAGGAAATAACTAGGAGCAACGGTTGAAGTTGCAAAGAGGTAAATTTACGCTTGATTTTAAGAAAATCATCTTAATCATTGTTGTTATTGTTGTTTCAGTAGTGTCTCACTCTTAGTGATCCCACTTGGGGTTTTCTTGGCAAAGATACTGGAGGGATTTCACATATCCTTCTCCAACCTGAGGAACTGAGGCAAACAAGGTGAAGCCATTTGCCCAAGGTCACACAGATAGTAAGTGTCTGAGGCCAGATTTGAACTCAGGTCTTCCTAGGCCCAGGTCCTGTCCTCTATCCACTGTGCCACCTAGTTTTCCATCTCAATCATTAGAGATGTACAAATATGGACTAGATCTGGGGGTGATGGGTTGGGCTTCACTGGAGATCTTTAAGCAGAGGAGAGATTGAGATGTGTTGAGTGTGTTATAGAAGAGATTCTCATTCACATCTATATTAAAATAAATTGCCTCCAAGGTGCTCCCAACCTTGAGATTCCATGACTAGTATTTTTACAATTCTGAATTTTCTGTCCATTAATTCTCATCTTAATCTCTCCATCCTCCCATTTGGAATTCTATCCTTAATAGCACTGACAATTTACTATCCACACTGCAAGGCAACCAAGACATAGGTGCTCATCCCTCAGCTCAGTAGTCTCCACATATGTCATAAGAACTGTTGCCTGTAAGGTTGAATAACCCTTGGCTGGCAAAACTATTTTTCCCTGAAACTATGCCCAAAGGGCTATAAAACTGGGTACACTCTTTGACCCAGGAGTACCACTATTGGTCTGTATCCCCAAAAAAAGATAAAAGAGAATGGAAAAGGACATATTTGTACAAAAATACTTATAGCAACTCTTTTTGTGGTAGCAAAGAATTAGAAAGTGAAGGGATGCCCATCAACTGGGAAATGACTGAACAAATTGTGTATGATTGTGATGGAATACTATTGTGCTATAAGATATGATGAGCAGGATGGTTTCAGAAAGGTCTTCAAAGACTTATATGAACTCATGCAAAGTGAAGTGAGCAGAACCAGGAGAACATCATACACAGTAACAACAATATTGTGAAAGACTTTGCTATTCTAATCAAGACAACGATCCAAGGGATTTCCAAAAGACCCACGATGAAAAATGCAATGTACCTCCAGAGAGGGAAAAATTTTGAGCACTGAATATCTATTGAAGTATACTTTTTAAAACTTTATTTTTCTTTTTTGTCTGTTTTCCTTGTAACATGACTAATATGGAAATATGTTTTGCGTTATATCACATGTAGAATTGATATCAAATTGCTTGCCTTCTCAAGGAGGGGATGGCGTGGGAGGGTGGAAGAGAATTTAGAATTCAAAATGGTTAAAAAATGAATGTCAAAATTTTTATATGTAATTTGGAAACACTGAATGAAAAATATGGGAAATATATTTTTAAAAAACTGTTTTTCCCCCTTCCCTAGTATTAACTTCACCCATGACACCATTGCTAACATTGCTCAATTTCTATGATAGTTTGACTTCTGGGAAATACGAAAAAGAGAGAGAGAGAGAGAGAGAAGATTTTGACACTTTTCTTTACATGCCCATTGAAGGAGATAAGTTAAAGTCATTTATTTACCCTGTGGTCATGAAGTAGAGAGAAATCGGAGGACATGACACACTGAGAAAATCAGAATTTTCTACTTTAAAATCTGTCTAGAAAAGATAATGATAGAGAATCCACAGACTACACAAAGTACAATTTTTGAAGATGTATCTAGCTATTTTGGATAGTACAAATACAAGAGAAATTTAGTATGGGGGGAGAGAAATTTGCTCATAAATGATTTGCTCAGTTCTGTTTATCTGACTGTCCAAGTAAAATTAATAAAGATAAAGGCTTTTTTCATTTCAAATAATATTTTATTTTCCTCCAGTTACATGTTAAGGCAATTTTTAACATGATCTTTTTTTTTAAATTGAGATGTAAATTTTCTCTCCTTCCTTTACCTCCCTCTTCCCTGTAAGAGTAAGCAATCTGATATAGGTTATACATATTCAGTCATGCAAAATATTTTACAATATTAGTTATGTTGCGAAAGAAGAAACAGACCTGAAAGAAAACAAAACATTAAAAAATATAGAAAGTAAAAAATAGCATGTTTTTTATCTGTGTTCAAATTCCATCAGTTCTTTCTCTGGGTGTGCAGAGTATTTTTCATCATGAGTACTTTGGAATTGTCTTGGATCATTGTATTGCTGGAAATAGTTGTCATCAATAGTTGATCGTATGGTATTGTTACTGTGTACAATGTTCTGGTTCTGCTTACTTCACTTTGCATCAGTTTATATAAGTCTTTACAGGTTTTTCTGGTCACTCTGCTCATTATTTCTTAAAGCACAGTAGTATTCTATTACAATCATATACCACAATTTGTTCAGTGATTCCCC